CCGCTGTTCTTCACCGTAAATCCGGCAGATATGCATGCAGCCTGTGCAGTCGTGACCTCCGGACAGGTATTGGACTTCAATGATGACGGACGACCGCAACATATCCCGAGCACGGTGGAGAAGTGGCGGCGTGTGAAGGATGACCTGTACAGTTGCGCCGCCCTGCTGGTGGCCACCAAGGAGGTTCTGGTGGAGGAGCTATTCGGCTTCGCGCCGGGCGCCATGCAGCAGACAAACCCGCGCTGCTTCTGCGGGCTCACGTTTGAGGTGGCGGTCAAGGTGGAGCAGAGCGGCCGCCTCGCCCTGCACATCCACGGTGTTGCGCATGTGGCCACGTTCGCAGTCGAGCGCCTTCAGGCGCTGTTCAGTGGACCCAACTGCCGAGCGCTGGCCCTGGCATACGCCCTGTGCGCCATGTGGTATCCCTCGCCGTACTATGACCCTTTCATCCGCGGTGCAGAACACTACGTCATGGACATGACCGTCGAAGAGGTCCAGCAGCATGGCCGTGCACCTCCGCCCGTGGACAAGTCCTGCCCGCCTGCAGCGTACGATTTTGGCAGGCTCGCCGGCTGTGCAGGTGGCGGACTCCCGCCGCCTCCCCGGCACGCTGCTTGCCGCGCGCACCATGCGGCCGTCGTTCGCAGCACGCTTACTCATACACATAACGACACCTGCAAGCGACACGGCTGCCGTGGCACAGATGATAGCTGTGGCATGGCGTTCCCTCGTGTCCTGCGCAGCGCCTTCCAGTGGATTGGCACCGGCGGCCTCTTCCTTCTGCTGCGATTGGGCCCGAACATTGTACCGCACATGCCAGCTGCAGCGCTGGCATTTGGGTGCAACCAGCTGTTTACTCTGGCGTGCGAGGTGGATCGCGTCTACACTGCAGAGGCAGCAGCGCAACTGGCCCGCCCTGAAGATGAACGGGGGGACTGTGCGCTGCTGCAGCCTGCTGCTGACCGCGCCCGCGACGCTGCCTACTACAGCACGAAGTACACTGGCAAGAGCATCAACGACAGCCAGGCGCAGCTGACGTGCAACGCTCTTACCCGAGTGCAGGATTTCCTGCTAGCTGGAAGGATGCCGAATCCGGGTGCCACTGGGCCCACTGCGTTTGGCAACATGTGTGCCACCGTGCATCGCATGACCGCTTCCATTACGGCTGGTATGGCGCTTGTCGCCATGAAGCTGGACGGTCATTCCACCTTCGAAGCGACGTTCGAGTGTGCATACCTGCAGGTAGACGCATTCACGGCGCTATCTGCGGGCGCGGAGCAATCTCCTGAGGCGGCGACCACAGCGGCGGTACTGGTGGAGGCTGAGGAGCAGGAGGCCTACACGGTGACCAACGCCGTGCAGAGCTACGTGCTGCGGGGGGAAGAACTCAGCGGCCTGGACTGCAGCGTGTACAACCTATCCTCCAACTATGAGGTCCGACGTGTGCCGCCAGCTCAGCACCCGCACCGAGAGCGATTGGGTCTACAGATCCCGGTGGCAGTTCGACGTCGTAAGCGCACTACCCCAGCCGCACCCATAACCGCCCCTGTGCCTGCCCCTGTGCCTCTGCCGACTGCAGCCCCGGCCCCTCCTCCTGAGCCACCTGCTCCTACAGCTGCAGCGACACTCGACCAGCCAACGTCTCAGACAGCCACGGAGCTGCCCCGCCTGGTGGCCTTCCACGGCACGCATCCGCTCTACAGAACACATGTCCACGTCCGCCTGCCGCGGCCGCGCTACGTACAGCTTGGAGGCTCTCTTCCCCGCCGGCCCCGCCCTGGCACCTCTGCTGCGGGCATGGCGCAGTACTACGCGTTTGTCCTGGGTACTTTCAAGGCTCACTGGGGTCAGCCCATCCCCCCCGGGCTGACTGTAAAGGAAGCCTACGACACCTGGTGGGCAGAGCTGGGCACTACCGAGGCAGGTCGCTCGTACCAGGCGTATGTATCGGTGCTGCTGGACAACATCGAAGAGGACCACGCTGGGAAAGCCCGCCGTCAGGCGGAGTACAACCAGCGGCGCCGCCAGCAGCGTGCGGCATCGGCAGCAGCCGCGCTGCCTGAAGGTGACAGCACGAGCGCTTCGGATGGAGATGCCGATGATGGCATCCGCGGGCATCTCAGACCTGATCCTGAAACACAGCCGCCCGCCGAGGACCAGCTGGAGCACTTCGTGTACATCCCAGGTCAGGAGTATCCGACGGCTGGCACCGACCTCGCCGCCGTCGCTCTTACTGACCTGTTTGACTGCACCAACGCTGCTGGCGCGTATGCCTATGATGCAGCACGGCGCTGCCGAGCCCCGGCCCTAGCGGACGGCCATGGTGCACGCAGCGATCGTTTCAGCCGTCGGATCACGCCAGCGGACCTGCCCCTCCTGACTGAAGCAACCAAGCGTCTGAAGCGGTATCTCGTTGCAGCAGCAGCCGGCACTGTTGAGGCAGATGGGGGCGCCCACACGGGACTGACGGCCACACCTGAGATGGACACCCCTCGTGTCGAGCTGCACCGCCCCACCAGCGGACCCCTGGTCGCCATCGTGTGCATGCCTGGCACTCCTGAGCGGACTGAACAGGCTCGCATGCCCATCTATGTGCACCTCCCCCAGCCGCCCAGCATCGACGACACCATCGAGCTGTTCACACTTGCCCCCCACCAGGCCGTGCCCTTCATGCTCATGGCTCGGTACTTCGATCATCGTGATGAGCCCAACCCTGGCGACCCGCCGCAGATGCTTGTGGAGGGCAAGCCCGGTACCGGAAAGAGCCAGTTCGTACAAGCACTCCTGTGGTACACCTTCCAGCATGGCTGTCCGCACTGGGCGGNCACCTGCGCCTACTCATGGGCTGCTGCAACTGCCTTCAGCACGCCGGTGCAT